AAGGCTGACAGTTCAATTCTCTGTCGAGAGATGTAGGGTCAAGCTGCACGAGTTAAAGTAGCAGATTTCAGCCCAGTGTAATTTGGTAAGGATGGAGGGGAAAAGGAGCAGCAAATCATTCCCTCCCGTAGGGACACACATGTCTACTGATGCCTTGAACTGTGTTTTTTTTCAAGGAGATAAATATCCATTGGATGAGGGTATCATTTTACATTAGAAACAAAAATTAATAAGTAGAAAGTAGGGAATTTAAGGAATGGGACCCCAAGTTGGGAAGGTAGAAGGTTTGGAAAGGTCAGGAAAGGTTTAGAAGCTGGCCTCAGGTGCCCTGGAGAAGACAGCATTGGGAAAGCCAGGCAGCATATCACATTAGATAGTGGTTTAGCACAGTGTAACTGCAAATGTTTTCGTATTTCTTCTCTTTGGAACAGAAACGAATTTTGAGGGAATTGTTAAGAAATAGGCAGTAATTTCAAGAGTACAAAACTTTAAAAATAGATGTTTTTAGGTAATTTCCAAAATGTCACTTTAGGCAGATGGCTGTTTTTGTTTTTTCGTGTTTTTTTTGTTTGTTTTTTACTAAATCATCATCCTGGGTTTAAACTATTGACATCATACTAATCCAGACAGCAAATATTCCTGTTACTTCATTAGGAATCTTTATCATTTAGCAATAAGGAAATCAGAGCTAAACCTTGAAAAATAAAATGAAAACATTTACCAATTCCAATGAATCATCTCTCCCACCACTTTTTTTTCTCAGTATATATATTTTTTAATTATTTCATATTTTTAGTATTTTTGTTTCATTTGTTATCTTCTTTGACCATCCCTTAGTTAAGAGTGTTGTTTTTCCTTGACTTAAAAGGTTTTCAATACCTGGGGAGCCACTAAATGTCACAGAGAGTATCTGTTCATCTATACCCAATAGAAATGTGGCTGCATCTTACAGGAAATGGCATTCTGAGTTTTGCTGAGTCTTGATGAAATTTTCTAAGTTATTTAATTTGCAAATAAATGTTTTCATCTACCTTGAAAGGCCTAATTGATACAGCTTCAGCATTAGCTCAGTGAAAATAAGACTATTTTTGCAAATTTTCCTTTTGTAGCTCTTTGCTGTTTACCACCAGGTAACAAAATTATGCGCTTACATGGGGAAGTAGCTTAAATATGGTGCCAGCTGTGGCATATGACTGCCTCGGGCAGTTAGAAGTGTCTCCACGGATACCCCTGCGAGAGAAAATCATCGCTCAATCTAACCGTAAAAGCTACAGAGAGACAAAAATCAATCATCCTTAAAGAATAAAGAAAAATATCAGGTATCATAAATATACAGTGGAAGCTATACGTTAATGATAGGTACATATTTATTTCCTAGACTTATAGTTTAGCATATCTCCAAAGAATATGCATTTAACATTTGTATATACATATGACGTGTATATACATACGATGCATGTAACGTGTATATACATATGTGTATATACCTAAGTGTTAAGCAATAACAAACATCCTAATACCCAGGCACAAAATAATTATTAAATAAAAAATAGAATTTTATATTTTAAATCCTTTTGCAGATGAGAATAACAAACTTGGAGGCAAAGCAAAGTTTGTGCTTAAATGCATATCATTACAGCACACTGTGTGTGAGTCTGCATTTTAATAAGATCACTGAAGACTCAGAAATGTTTTGCAAGTTGGCTCCAGTCTACAGATCGTTAAAATTTTTGGTCATATTTGCTTTACTCTATGTACCCGGGTACCGTTTCAACTTTTTAGGTGTTTGCCTCTGTTTTTCTCCAAAGGTTACAGATTTCGGAGTTTTGAAAATTAGAAAGATTTAAAGGTAAACTTTCATTACTATCACCTTGTAAATCATAACTCAGCTCCCAAAAAGTAATTTAGAACCTAAGTAAAAAGCACTAACTTGTTCCAAATCTGTACTTCCACAATATCTAATTTCAATGATACCCCATTCCCCATTTTCTTCTTTGCATTGGATAAAGTGATACACTCCTCAAGATATTTTCTGTAATTTAAGAATGTTAAAAATGCAAAAAAACAGAACCACTACATGCTCTTAATCTTGAGAAAAGCAATCATATTACATAATAAAATGTCATCCTTAGAAGACCAATGTCAAGGAGGAAGGGAAATACATGCATGCAAACATACATACATATTTACATGCATACACAATACACATATTTAGGGGTGGTAGAAATTTGGGCAGGTAATTTCTTTCCCTCTATCACAAAACCCAGGTTTGGTTTCCTGCTTATCAGCTATTAAATAAACAAGAAACATCAATAAAAACAACAGATGATTATTTTCAGCTAGAATTAACCTTCTTTCCTACTTCTCAGAGTTATCCAGAAAGGTGTGACAACCATGCTCGAGATACCACATCAGAATGATCTGTTCTCATGATGATAGACTAGGTCCTAGAACAGGAATTATATCAAGCATGATAAAATCTGCTCTCAAAAGCACTTCTAAAGGCAGGTCGTGCCCCGCCTTGTGATCTTCATATGAAGCTGAAAGAGGAAAATGAGTGGAGGATGCAGAGGTACAAGATCAATATGTGAGTTTTATTGCCCTAAAATATATATTTTATAAGTGACCTTTCATGGGCTCTGAAAGGGGTGCTCATTCCTTATTTATGGAGAAGAAAAGGCACATTAAATTGAAAATTCTCTTCCCTAAAGAAATAGTTTCTTGGTTTCAATAAGGTCACAACAAAACTAATAGTGAAAATATTCCCACTAAATTTACAAACTTAAAGGAAACTCATATAAAACTTAAGTGAACGTGTCCATAATTTTCAGCAATTAGAAATAGTTACTTCTTATTAAGAGCAATGGAAATGTATCAATCATACTTGAGGGAACTTTACTACTGTGGTTAGTATTGCTTACTCTTTATGATCAGCATTAGGCACTCTTGCAGGTTTCTCTCATTCCATACTTCCATTTCTATTAAATTCAGTTAATTGGTGATAACCTTTCTTCCGAAAGGTACACCAGATTTATTGTTTGGGTATTCCTCTGATCTACACTTCCAACCGACCTGCCTCTGCAATCACCCCTGCCGTTCTCAGTGCCTCACAGTTCATGGGAGAAAAACGTGGATGCAACAGAGCAGAAACACTTTCACCTTCTCATCACTAAACCTGCCAGTCTCTCTGCATCTGTATGCACATTCTTTGCATTCCTGGTCTGGAAGACACATCCTGGCCCTGCTCAGATGGAAGTCTGCTCTCTTCACTTGAGCCCCGGTTCTCCACCCAATACACCTCTTGGGGACATCACTCCGTCAATTACCCCCTTCTCTCCTGCATCTTCATTTGTTCTCTTTCAGCTGGAGTATTTCCATGAGCATACAAACTTCGCTAAGGTCTTTTTCTTAGAAAATCCATTTCTGGTCTCCTCATTCCTTCCTTCTCGACCACTGCCCTTCTCTGCTCACTTTCTCAGTAAAACTTATCAAAAGAGTGGTTCACTGGAGTTTGCATTTTATTGTCTCCCATTCACTCTTCCATAATAAGTTTCAGTCCCCTCTCCTCCACTGAACTGCTTTTACCAAGCCTACCAGTGACATTCTTTTTTTTTTTTTTTTTTTTTTTTTTTTGAGGTACGCGGGCCTCTCACTGTTGTGGCCTCTCCCATTGCGGAGCACAGGCTCCAGACGCGCAGGCTCAGCGGCCATGGCTCAGGAGCCGAGCCGCTCCGCGGCATGCGGGATCTTTCCAGACCGGGGCACGAACCCGTGTCCCCTGCATTGGCAGGCGGACTCTCAACCACTGCGCCACCAGGGAAATCCTACCAGTGACATTCTTATTGGCAGCCCTCATTGTTCAGTAGGAGCTTATACCAATACCTTTGACTGTCTTCTCTTGATTGAAACTTTTTTTTTCTTATAGGTTTCTGTGACAGTGCCCTCTTCTGGTTTTCCATTGAGTTCAGTACGTAATGAAAAGTCATTCTGTGACACACCTACACCAAAGGGTGTGCATAGGTCTTTTCTGGACTCTTTTCTTCCAGAGCTCTACAAGACAGGCTCCCCCTGAGCCCTGTTCTTTCTTTTTTCATTCTCTCTCTGGACGTGATGCCAGCCATAGTATTAATTAATAGCTATCCATCGAAGACCCCTGGACTTACAGTTTTGACTCAAACTTCTTTCCTTCATCTCCAGACAAAGCCCAATAGCATCCCTGACCTCTCTATATGAAAATATTTGGTCTCTTTGTGCAGAACTGTTCTTTCCACAGACTTCCATTTCTTGCTGTACTCTACCAGCTTCCCCCTGCTGCTCAAATGAAAAATCGACATTTCCCTCCCCTCCAGATCCCGCCTAGGAGTAATACCCATTCGATTTGCTTCCAAAAGGTGTTTAGAACCTTTCTTTTCTCCAGCTCCAATACTATCACCTTAGTCCAAGTCACACTCATGTTGTTTCTGCCAACTACCAGGTCCTCCTAAAGAGCTTCTTCCCTCTCCACCCATGTCCCCTTTAAAATCCATTCTCCTTACCAGCCAAAGTGATCTTTTGAAAATAGCAATCAGATCAGGTCACTGAGCTACTTAAACTTTTCAGTGCCTTTCCAGTGCTCTTTGAATGACAACATCCTTTCCATGGCTTCCCAAACACTTCCCAAATTACTTCTCTCACTTCATGTCTTACTAGTCACCATGTCACTTACGCTTCAGCACAACTGGTCTTCCTTCTGCTTCTCGAATGCGCCCAGCTTGTTTCCACATCGGGTAACTGAATTTTCTCTTCCCTTTGCCATGAAGGATAGCCCACACCTTCACATAATGGCTCCTTCTTACTGTTCAGTTTTCAACTTGCCTGTCACCTCCTGGAAGAAGCTTTCCGCATCTGCCCGCTTGAATACTGCACTCCCCCATCATACTGAGAACTCACCACCACACTGCCTTTTTTACTTTTATCTATTAATCACTATCTGGAAAGACTTTATTTAGTTTGTTACTCACAAGTTTATTGTCTTTTTCCCTTGTTGAGACTGTAAGCTTCCTGAGAAGCTCAGACACCTTTTCTGCCATGTTCAGAACCGTCTTCCAGCACACTAGGATAGTCTCTGGGACACTGTAAGGTCAAAGAAATATATATATATAACAGTTGAATAAGTGATCGAATGAATAGGGATGTTTTGCATGATGGATATCTAAAGTGCGAGGCTCTGTGCCAAGTCATCCATACACAGTATCCATAACCATCTGAAACTTTGTTGTTGTTATCATATAACAACAGAATACAGGTGCTACAGAATACAATGAAACTTCAAAGGATAGGCATTTCTGAATTGATACAAACTCTACACTGCAATGTTGCTTCTCTTGTAGTTCCCAGTAACGACTCTACTGTTTTTTAGGAAATGTTTCAGTGATGGGAAGGAGAGCCACAGGGTTGTACAGTGTTCCAAAGGAAGTGTGATTTACTTGTATTTTGATTTATATTAACTCAGTCAAATCACTCTTTTATAATAGGCTTCTGAAACCTGTTCCTTCCCCAATATCCTTCATCTTAGTAAACTGCACCACCTTTCACTTAGCTGCTCAAGCTGGGAGTGTGGAAAATATTCTTGACCCCTCCTCACTCACTCCACCACCACCCAATCTATCATCAAGTTCTATTGATTCTACTTTCAAGTATAATTTGAATATACATGCTTTCCTTCCTATTTATTGTTACCATCATATCTAAGCCACCATTTTATTGTCCTTGAACCATAGCAATGTCCTGACTTTCATTCATATTCCTACCAAACCCATTCTCCATAGAGTAATAGCAGTAGCCCCACTGACACTCTTAGTTACTTCAATAGCTGGAGGTTTTTGCCAATTCGGGACCTTTACCCAGGATGCTTTATCTGTCTAGAAAGCACTTCTCCTCCATTTTCATTGGGCCATGGCTTTCTTGTTCTTCAGGTATTAGTTATAGTTAGAATGGATGTCTGCTGTGCTGCCTTGATTCCTCTTTAGAACTGAAGTGCTTGCCCCGTGTTGCTGGGAGTGTTGGGGACTGAGTTTCTAACCAGGCGTTATCCTCATTTGAGAAGAGCAATCTTGCCCAAGATGATCTCTCTTGAGGGTCAGCCCATCCCAATGCCTGGGAAGGTGTATGGGGGCAGTGGATATTGTAGAAAGCCCAAGCCAGCCCCCCTTGCTTCAAGGCAGGGACAGCTCGGAGGGACCACCTCAGCTCTCGAGCTCTCCATAGGAATGGCTAAGCCTCTGTCGAAACTGCACCACAGTGCAACCTCTGCCCAATTCTGCTTCTCTCATCCCTCATCATGTCATCCTCAAAAATACTCCACAATCAACCTCTTGACCTCAAATCTCAGAGTTTGTTTCCTAGGACCCCAATCTATGGTAACACCTGCTCCAAAAGTTCTTCTCTAACACCTGTAACCAACGTAAAATACCCCCAACCCCCACTAGCTCCACACATATCATTATTTTCCCTCATAGTATCCGATTCTTTTCCCTCATAAACCCTAATTCCCAAATTTGAAACTCTGCAGACTGAAAGTCCCATAGAGGCAAGAAACATCTCTATTACAGGGCTTGGTATATGTGGTTATTGAGTTTAAAAACCACACTTTTTTTTCATGGTAGACATCAATAAAACACTCTGTATTGTACTCATCCCTGATCTCCAGATTCCTCAAGGATGCCAGGGACCATTGCCACTACTGAGGAGAGGGTCATCACAGCTGTGATATTTCAAAGCCAAGTAGAACACAACAAAGTTGGACTTCACTGTTGCAAGGTAATCAGCTTAATAAAGATATTTTCATAAATTGAGCAAATATTTAAGATAATTAAAGACTTACAGTTACATATGACAGTGCCCCCTAAAGAAGGAACATAACGCATTTTTCAAACTCCAGTTTCTTCAATACTCAAAGACACAGGTCAATTTTGCCTCTTACATTTCTGAATTTAGACCATACAGTCCTAGGGAGAAGGGACTATATTTTCGTTTCATTTTCTTAAAAAGATGGGAGGAAATAAAAACAGAGAATCTCCCACTCACCAGAGAAATGAAGCAAAAATACTTAGTGTATGTTTTTTCCGATTTCAGTTACAAAGGTAATATTCTTGCTGAGCAAAGTGATTTTACTCCTGACCTTGATCCAAGCCTTAAATCTAGCCCACAGCTATTGATGAATCACATTTCAAAAGTTTTCCAAGGTAATTATTATAAAAAGTCCATTTTAGGAGTCATCTTAAAGAACAATATCATATAAGGATAATAACTTGATTTTTTTTCCTTCTTTAGAGAATTTTACAGAGTAAAGGTCATTGGGTCCACTTTTTATAATTATCATAATCATTGGAACTATGAATATCATTCTCTATTCAAGTGTCTCAAATGCCTTATCCTCATTAAGTTTAATCAATTGAAACTCTTAGGCCTTGACCCTGAACTTGAAATATGCTTCCAGTATCTGTAAGTGAATAAATGTATGTCTGTATGTGTGTGTGTGTGTGTGTAAATGGGTTTAGTAGATTTTCTGTAAGTCACACATACCTTGGAAAAGAAAATGGAAAGTGGGAATTTTCACTTGTGGTAACTTCTAAATAATGATGATAACTTAAACAAGTAAACTCAAACTCAAGAAATTAGAAAGCATTTGAATTGACATAAACCATTGTCAAATAAAAAGAGTGAAGTGCAAACTATGAGAATGAAAAAGGGCTAACAATTTCTTGCTTAAGAAAACTCGCTAGTAAACGACCACTAGTTTTTCCATTTTTCCTTTAGAAACAATATAGTTCAAAGAATCCTAGACAAATTAGTGCCTTCAATTTAGAAATGTTCCCCAGTTGGCAAGAAAAAGAATTATTTAACAATTAGTTTTCACAAAATCCTGCTAATCATTTGCTCATGAAAAAGAATGTGTTAAAACTTCACAACATTCCAGAAAAAGATAGAAACAAAAAGTTAAATGAAACTCTGAAGTAATCATTTCATTTAACACTATATTAATTTGTAATTTTTTACTGCTGAAAGTATATGTTAATAAACCATAAATGTTTATATACATGCAAAACACAAAAAGGAAAAAGTACATCCCTTGCCCTCAATGAGTATGGCTCATTTTTGCATGGATCAAAAATGCTTCGCGATTGTGGGCCAGAAATACATAGGTTCCTTGCAGTGCACATTTTAGATCCAGTGGTTCATGCTCCTTTGGATTATAACATAAATATTGTAATATCTACAGAGAACTAAATCTGGAAGATTATATACTAAAATTTTGAAGTGATTATTACCACAGACTAGAACTTTCTGCTACATTTCCAAAGAATTTATATTTTTTATAATTAACAAACATTTTTGCAAGCACGAAAATATAAAAAGAAAAGTGTTTTTTATTGAAATGGATAATTGGAACTGAGCAAGCAATCTGGGGAAATGTATCTGTTAGTATTTGGTATAAAGTGAAAATTTCTATTCAGTTTTTTTATTTTTATATACATAGAATATGTGTGTGATTTTGCAGTGTCTGAATTAAGGTTTCATTAAGATCTCATTTTCATCAAGGATACATTCATTTGAAGAAAAATCTGCCAACCAAAACGAAAATCCTTAAATCACAGATATCATTGCCAAAGTCAAAGAGCGTATGTGTAGTGTGTATTCTCTAGCCAAGCTGAAACTGATCCAAGCTGTGTTCTTTGTCATAGTCATACATGGAAAGAAAAAAAATAGCAAAAAAACTTGAAATGTAAAAATGTTCTCTAGTTTTCCTATTTCGTCTGGAATAAAATCAGAGGTGCCCTGCCAACCCTCTCCCATATCAGCTAGAGTAGCAACAAACCTAGTTACAAAATTGGTAAAGTTAGGGGTGACTATTACCATCTTAAGAGTCAACACATAAAAAGAATATACTGGGAGACAGGAGAAGATGGCGGAAGAGTAGGACGCGGAGATCACCTTCCTCCCCACAGATACACCAGAAATACATCTACACGTGGAACAACTCCTACAGAACACCTACTGAACGCTGGCAGAAGACCTCAGACCCCCCAAAAGGCAAGAAACTCCCCACGTACCTGGGTAGGGCAAAAGCAAAAAGAATAAACAGAGACAAAAGAATAGGGACGGGACCCGCACCAGTGGGAGGGAGCTGTGAAGGAGGAAAGCTTTCCATACACTAGAAGCCCCTTCGCGGGCGGAGACTGTGGGTGGCGGAGTGGGGGAGCTTCAGAGCCGTGGAGGAGAGCGCAGCAACAGGGGTGCGGAGGGCAAAGCGGGGAGATTCCCGCACAGAGGATCAGGGCCGACAGGCACTCACCAGCTCGGGAGGCTTGCCTGCTCCCCCGCCGGGGCGGGCGGGGCTGGGGAATGAGGCTTGGGCTTCGGTCGGAGCGCCGGGAGAGGACTGGGGTTGGCGGCGTGAACAGAGCCTGCAGGGGGTTAGTGTGCCACGGCTAGCCGGGAGGCAGTCCGGGGAAAAGTCTGGAGCTGCCGAAGAGGCAAGAGACTTTTTCTTCCCTCTTTGATTCCTGGTGCGTGAGGAGAGGGGATTAAGAGCGCTGCTTAAAGGAGCTCGAGACGGGCGCGAGCCGCGGCTAAAAGCACGGACCCCAGAGTCGGGCATGAGACGCTAAGGCTGCTGCTGCCGCCACCAAAAAGCCTGTGTGCGAGCACAGGTCACTATCCACACCCCCCTTCCAGGGAGCCGGTGCAGCAAAACTGAGCCCCAGGAGCTGTGAGAACAAAGAAGAGAAAGGGAAATCTCTCCCAACAGCCTCAGGAGCAGCGGATTAAATCTCCACAATCAACTTGATGTACCCTGCATCTGTGGAATACATGAATAGACAACGAATCATCCCAAATTGAGGAGGTGGACTTTGGGAGCAAGAGAGATTATTTTTTCCCCTTTTCCTCTTTTGGTGAGTGTGTACGTGTATGCTTCTGTGTGAGATTTTGTCTGTATAGCTTTGCTTTCACCATCTGTCCTAGGGTTCTGTCTGTCTGGGTTTTTTTTTTTTTTTCGCTTTTTAAAACTTTTTTCTTAATAATTATTTTTATTTTAATAACTTTACTTTATTTTACCTTTATTTTATTTT